AAGAAGATATGGTGTATATATATACAATGGAATACTACTCAGCCATAAAAAAGGACAAAGTCGTCCCATTCACAACAACATGGATAGACCTTGAGGGTATTATGTTGAGTGAAATAAGCCAGACAGCGAAAGACGAACTTTGTATGACTCCACTCATAGGTGGTAGTTAACATATAGACAAAGAGAACCGATCGGTGGTTACCAGGGGAAAGCGGGGTGGGGGAAGGGCACTAGGGGTGAAGTGGTGTACCTACAACATGACTAATAACGATGTACAACTGTAATTTCACAAGGTTGTTAACTATCATAACCTTAATAATAATTAAAAAAAAAAAAAGCCAGTGGGAGAGCTGTGGAAGGCATCTGTGGGCTTGTGAGCATGGAATCATATGTTGTTCAAGCTGAAACCTTACATTTGAAATGCTGACTGACGATGTAAGGATCAACACGATTTCTTAAGCAGCACTTGCAAAAACAGTGAATCAATTCTGCCACTCAGTCCTTTAAAAGCTCAGCAAATTACCCAGAGGTGCACTAGTGGAAATCCCTGTTGAAACACAGCTTCTTGTTTCTTTCCTTTTTCACTTGTTATATGAAAATCAGAATAAACTACACATATGCAAGATGCCACTTCTAAGTCTTTCTCAGTACAATATTATGATTATCAATTACTTTTTGTTGAAGTAATATGAGTTATATACTTTGTGAGTGAATGTGTACTTTCAGTTTACCTCTGGGGTGAGATAGAAAAAAAAAACCCTGGAGCACAAGAGTCTTCAAATGCATCTACAATGGATACATAATGTGGACCTCACAGCAACCTATGATTATAGACTTACTGGCTTTTCTGTAATGAAATAACCAAATCTTCTCTCTCTGATATAAACCAGCTGATGAGGATTTTGTGGCTGCCTCCATAAAGTATGCATCAATATTGTATTGATTTACATTTTCTTTCATTTGAATATATACCTTTGATACTAATTGACACTTATTTCTAGAAGGAATATAAAAAAATTTCTATGGGGTTTTGATAAGTACAGTTTTGTGGGCAAACCTCTTAAAAATCTTTAAGTAAATGCATTTGATAATTCTACATTTTAACTGACTCCAAGTAAACATAAAAACAAAAGCAAACTATCAGAAAAAGAGCACTAGACAATAAATATTTGCTGAATGAATAAACAGAAGCATGAATGACCTTATCCATTATTTATTCCTATATTATTTCTGCACACCTCACTACCTTTTGATTGTAATTTGGCTTCCTCTATTGATCTATCTTTAGAGAAAGAATGATTCCTGTGGTCATTCTGGCATTGCAATTATAATCCTCAGAGCAGATAAAAAGCTGGCATTCTGGGTTTATTTAAAGATACCTCTAGACTGTGAATGCTTCACTGGAGGGCCTAGCGTAGTGCCTGAAACTTAGGAGATATCTAACACATGTTCAATGAATATGTCCTGCTTCATTTCAAGTTATCATTCCATTTAGTCGATGCACCAAAGAAGATACTCCCTGCTGTGCTCTGAATGTTTGTGTCCCCCCAAATTCATATGTCGAAATCTTAATCCCCAAGGTGATGGTGTCAGGAGGTGGGACCTTTCGAAGGTGATTATGTCACAAGGGCCCTTATAAAACAGGCCCCCCAGAGCTCCCTAGCCCTTTCCGATATGTGAAGACTCAGCAAAAAGATGACTGTCTACAAACCACGAAGACCTCACCGAATACCAAATCAGCCAGCACCATGATCTTGAACTTCCCAGCCTCCAGAACTGTGACAAATGAATGTTTGTTGTTTACAAGCCATCCAGTTTATGGTATTTTTTTATAGCAGCCCAAAAGGATTAAGAAACTCTCATTTAAGAAATCAGATAAATAATCCTAAAAATAAAAAGTAAAATAAAATTTAAAATGTAGTGGATGGCTTACCAAACAGGAAATACAGCAGATGGAGGGATGGTCATACGACCGCCCTCTTTCTTCATACTAAATATTTCATCATACACTGTGGGCAAAGCCATTTCAAGTGTGGGTGTGTGTTATTGGCTCAGAATAAAGTATATGGCATAAGGCTACCACTAATATATTTAAACAGCTGAAAATGGGTTAACATGAACAACAAGGACAATCTTTAAGAGGGCAGAAGAGGGAAAGGTGACACAAAATTATTCTAGGTAACTTTTGAGAGATGAGGAGGGGAAGATGGCCCTAGTCACTCAATGGGCACTGCTATATGCCTCATGGGGAAGAGAGGATGGCAGATGCGCAGGCAAGCTGCTTCAGTCCTCCATAGCACAGACCAGCGAGCTTTGCCTCCTTTCCTCTCCCACGTCAACAAGGACTCCCCCAGGCTTGGTCCTTCTGCTTGGTTATTGCAGCAGCACAGGTCCACAAATGCCAGAAGTCTTAATCAATCATAAAGGTTTATGTGAAGGAGGCTCAGTCTTGGATAATTATTAAAATACAATAGACTGCTTTACACACAACCATGGAAGTTCAGAGACTCCTATGTCAACTGCATACAATATTGATGTAGAGTGCTGAGGAGCCACCTGACACCTGTTCCAACAGGTGAGGACCAGAATGGAGGAACTCTTCCCCAACTTGTCAGGATATTATGACCTGAAAAGATGCTCTGGAAAGCAAAAGTAGGAAAGTAGTAGCAGGAAGAATAAGATAAAGGATGACTTTTTAAAGAGAAAAGAAAGTTCATGACCTTTGCCTTGATATGGCTAAGAATAACAAGGAAATAAACACATACAGTCATGTGAAATTAGATACTATACTTACAAATATCTTTACTCGCTGTGAGCCTGGGGCCAGCGACATGGGTCTGTCCTAGTTCCAGCTCACTTCCAAGGGGCAGAAGTAAGCTCAGCTCCCACAAATATGGAGTGACATCTCCCTTCCCCAAGGACTAAACCAAGACAGTGAGGTCAGGAGAGAATCTGGGCTTCCCTTCTCCTGCCAACTGGATTGTGGCTTTTTCACCATCTTTGAGGATCAACATCTTCTTCAAGAAAGATCATGCTACCTAAAAGAGTGTGGCCTTATGCAACAGACCGCGAGAGGGTAATCTTCTCATAAAACCTAATAAGCACATTTAAACAATAAAAACATTCTTTCCATACAGGGTAAGGGGTAATTTTTTTTTACAGAGGATAATATTCATTATTTGGAATTGAATTTAAGAGCTAACATTTAGCTAAAATAATCTGACCAGATAGCTATACCGGTAGACTACATTCCATCAAGAAACCTAAAGGAATAGAGCTATTCTCAATGTTATGATATCCTGTACTTTAAATCCCCTTTATAGCACTTTTCACAATGTACTATAATGTATCTGTTTACTTGTCTGTAGCCCCCACTAGGCTGTTAGGTCCTTGAAGAAGGAACTGAGTCTCTCCCATTCTCTTCTGTATTGGAATTAAGCACAGAGGCCTGGCACAGAGGTGACCCTCAAAACACTGTGGAATGAATGTCTTCATGGGTAGTAAATAGAGTATAGCTCCGATCCAATTTCATGTTCTGCACATTATCAATAAAAGACTGGAGAAGAAATTGAAAAGCAGTTACTCAGAAAGCAGCATAAATGGAAACAAAGGCTCTCATCTTAGGTGCTTTGAATCAGGGCTGCAGCATCCAGTTGGTCAGGTTGTTCAACACACAAGATTATCATCTGGGCAAGGGCATAAATTGGGGCAGAAATCCAGCCCATGGTCTGCTTACCAAGCCTTGACCCCCAACACTGCTTTGTATCTGCCCACAGGAAGCAATGTCGTTTTTTAAAAATTCATATAAAGGCACTGTACAGGCTAGAGACAGTCCTGCTTTAAATAGTGACTTAATCTCTGACAGGCTAGATCCCAAGGGCAAGAAAAACTGCCCTACCAATCTGATCCCACCACAAAGGGTGTAAAAGAAAATGTGAAGATTGTCTGATCTTGCATTGAGAACACTGGCGTTGGAGATTGTTTCCCTCTGGCTTCTAAACCTAGGAGTGATGGGCTTATAAAATAAAACTTTTCTTGCAACATAAAGAACCATGTAGTGGAGCCTCAGCATTCAACCTGATCCCAGAAAGTGAGCGACAGAATCAGAGATGCGTAAAGAACAGGAAGAAACCTTGCAGGTCACAGAATTTCAAGGCTGGAAGAGACTTTCGAGATACGTGATCTGGTCCAATAATCGCTTCATTTTACAGGTGAGGAAACCGAAAAGATCAAGGAAATTAAGTGGCTCGCCTGCGGTTAGCTAGCAAAGCTAAGTCTAGAACCCAGTTGTTCGCTGGCTTTCAATCTAATAACCACAACTAGCTGGACTTGCCATCATTATAATCAACATTGATCGTGCACTCACTGTGTGGGAGAGGTTGAGACATATAGACTTGGTCTCCATCAAGGGCCTTACAATGAGGTTGAGAAAACAGAAAATAAGTAGTAAACACAAGCAATAATGAGCTGGCATATGAAGGAGGCTTAGACTCGGGTTTCTGAGTGGCAGTGGTGACGCCAATGTTAGGAATCAGTGGCATGGAGTGGAGTGCTCTCGTGTGGGCCGGCTATTCCGGAGGGTGCCGAACTAGGTGACCCAGAAGGTTCAGCTGAGGCAGCAGGGGGGGCCCAAGGTCACAAATGCAAAGGCAGGAGGACCCAACTTCCGGGGCCCCTCGACGTGCGGCTTAAGCCTTTGGGCTCATGACCCACGCTGCGAGGACGCGCGAGGAGAGCGTCTCCACCGGGGCTCCGAGCCCAGGCGGCCGGGACTGGGGCGGCCAGAGCTGCAGGAGCCGGGGGCGGCCGCAGGGACACGGCCGGGGGCAGCGGCGGGGGCAGCAGCAGCCGCAGCGGCAGCACGCGGCGCCCCCGGGACCCGGCTTCCGGGCGGCGCGGGGCGGGGCGGGGCCGGCGCCTCCCACGTCGGGCTGCGTGACAATGGGGGGCGGGGCCGCCGCCGCCGCCGGGTCGGGTTTGAGAGATTAAAACTCCCGGCGGCGCGGTGCGGCGCGGCGTGCGTGCGTGCGCGGCGGAAGCGCGGGACCGCGGCGTGGCGCGGGGCCGGCGGCCGGCGCGTCTCCACGCCATGAACTACCCGGGCCGCGGGGCCCCGCGGAGCCCCGAGCAGAGCGGCCGGGGCGGCGGCGCCTGGGAGCGGGGCGCGGACGCGGAGCCGGCGTTCGGGGGCGGCGTCTGCTGCTTCGACCGCCTGCCCGGCGGGGACCCGGGCGACGGCGAGGTGCCGCTGGCCCTGCTGCGCGCGGAGCCCGGGCTCGGCGACGACCACTACGACTTCGACTCGGCCGAGTCGGGCCCCTCGCTGCGCTTCTACAGCGAGGCCGGGAGCGGCGGCGGCGGCACCTCCTCGTCGCTGCACCCGCCGCCGCCGCCGGGGCCGTCGAGCCCGGGGGACGGCGGGGCGGCGGAGGGGGGCCCCGCGGAGAGGAGGTGGCCCCGGCCCGGCGGCGCGGCCGCCCGGCACCGCTACGAGGTGGTGACGGAGCTGGGCCCGGAGGAGGTGCGCTGGTTCTTCAAGGAGGACAAGAAGACCTGGAAGCCCTTCATCGGCTACGACTCGCTCCGCATCGAGCTCGCCTTCCGGACCCTGCTGCAGGCCACGGGCGGCCGGCCCCAGGCCGAGGACCCGCGCGGCGACCGTGCTTGCGGCCCTGCCTCCAGCTCCGGGGAGGACGACGACGACGACGACGAGCGCGGCTGCGGCTTCTGCCCGCGCGCGGCGGGGCGCGAGCCCGCGCTGGAGGAGCTGGTCCACGTCGAGCGGGTGTGTGTGCGCGGCGGCCTCTACGAGGTGGATGTGACCCAAGGAGAGTGCTACCCGGTGTACTGGAACCGTGAGTAGCCGGCCGGGGGCGGGGGCGGGAGCGGGCCGGGCCGCCTCTGCGGGGCCCACACGCACCGGGTGGGTCTGGCAGGCTCTGAGGCCTGGCGTTTGGTCGGAGCCGGACGGAGACTGGGGCAGCGCCGGCGGGTGAAGGATGAAGGAGCAGATGGCAGAACCCGAACTGCCTGGGGTCAGGAGGAGCGGGTACTGCCGGGGAGCGCCTCCTAGTGAGCGGGTGCTCCCCTGGAGGTGCTCCAGGAACGATGCCCAGCTCGAAAGGTTGCAGTCGGTGATCCTACCCGAGCTGTGTCCACCCGGGGATCTGACTCGGTCTCGTTTATCCTGAACGACCTATGATTTAAGTAGCAGCTTGTCCTCCGGAGTGGGAATGTCGGAGAGGATCTGCGCGAGAATCAACAGTTCACTTATGGACTCGGTAAAAGAAAATTAATCCCTGGCAGGAAGGGAAAGGAAAGGAGATAGGTTGTTCCCGCCGACCGCGTTCGGGAGAGGTGGAAAGCACTGCTTGAAGCAGTTCTGGCAAGTGGGTCGCTCGCCCTCTATGGAGTACGCGTTTTGTCCCTTAGTTCCTTGTTTACGTATTTTCGTTTTTGCCTCTTAACCTTACAAGGCTTATGCCTTGGTTTCATCGTCTGTAAAATAGGGATAATTGTATCTACTTTGTCCTGTTGTCGTGGACGTTAAGTGAGATTATATACCTAAAGGGTTGGAAATGTGCTTGACACACATGTGTGATATAAGTGTTAACAATGGGTCCTTACTTGTTAGACAACAACGCAGTTAGGTTTGCCATTAGATTAAGGAGGAAGGCAATCAGAAATATTTGCCGTTGCATGCATCGTGTGTTACGTATGTAATATATGATAGAGTCTGTATATTCTACATGTAATAGGTTCTCGCTATATAATAGATATTCTATAGTAATGGAAGCTGTTGGCCACCAATAATTTGTAATACGCAGTTTTAATTTTTATGGGCCCAGTGTCCTAAGTCAACTGTCTTCGTTAATTGTCACTAGCCTTAGGTCTTCCATACATCTTACAAATTCCTGGTATTAATTATATGTATTGATGACTTTCTATATGTTTAGCATCTTATGGGTAAAGTCCATCACCTTTATCTTCCTTCTCTCTTAGAGCCTAATGCAGTAAATATTCAATAAATAGGTATTGAATTGCATGTGATGCTGATAATATTAAAACATTTATATGTTAAGCATGAGTCACTGAGATAGCAGTTACAGCGTGTATCAAATCACTAAGCATACCAGGAAATTTAATTTCTTACTACACTTTAAGGTGACATTGAAGGCATTTGCTACCATTTTCACAAGGCCAAATTCATATGGGATCTGTCACGTCACTCCTTTTGATTATAAGTTCACAGGGACAGAATATGCTTGTATTCACTCACTCATTCATTCATTTATTCATTTGTCTCTGATTTTTATCAGGTATTTGTATGTGCGTAACGCAGTACTCTTGTTAGGGAGGCGTTAGGTGTTAGGGAAGGTGGAAAAAAGGACAATCCCTACCCTTCGGGAGCTTCCCACTTAGTCCTTTCTTCAGACGACCTGGATGTCTCTATAGATTTTTTTCCTTTGAAGATAGAAGCACAAGGATTTAGTGGAGTCAGAAAGTTGGATAAAATGCAGTGCATCCTTAGAGAGGGGACTGGAAACCCGGAGACGTCTTACCTTTAGATCGACTGAAGTATATTCACTTAGAATACTGTGTGCTTTTTTGGTTTATGACAAAATTGTTAATACTTGCATAGTGTTTTACTGTTTACAAAGTGATTTTTACATGCATTATTTCATAATGATATCAAATTAATGCTAACATTCTGTATGTGAAGACACAGGCTCAGTGAAATTCATGAACTTGTTCAAGGTTAGCCAGAAAGCGGTGAAGCAGTTCGTGGTCTAGTAGGGGAATACAGTGCAGTGTCAGAGCGTCTGACCCACCGAAGCACGAGGGTGTCAGGAAAGCTTTCCACATAGTGAAGGACCGAGTCGAGTAGCTAGAAAAGGAGCAAAGGTGGATACACAGTGCTAAGAAGTTTGGACTTTATCCCCTGAGTATCGGAGAACCGTGATGAGTGACAACCCAAAGCTTGAATTGGAGAATTGGAGAATATCGTAGAATACTAGTTTCATAAATCAAGTGAGAAACAGTGAGGGCCTGCGGAAGTTAACCTGAAAGGAAATGAGAACTTGGTCTTCTTGAATCTTTTTTTTCCTAAAGCAGATAGTCAATAAACCAGTGATAGCTTATAAATCGATTTTGTTTGACTACCACAACAGCAACACCTGTTTTGACTCCATTTTAGCATTTTCTGCAAGATGTAATCCTGTGGGTGTCCTAGGCCTTCATTTGAGCTACAGTGAAAATGCAGTACAGTCGTGTACCGCATAACATCGTTTCGATCAACGCCGGACTGCATATATGATGGTCCCATAAGATTAGTACCGTGTAACCTAGGCGTGTAGTAGGCTATACCATCTAGGCTTGTGTAATTGCTCTCTATGTAAATGTTCGCACAAGGACGAAATCGCCTAACAACACATTTCTCAGAACATATCTCTGTTGTTAAGTGACACATGACTGTTTTGTTTTTTGTCCATAGTTTACCACTTCTCACAAAATCCCGTGTAATTTTGCTCTAATTGGTTCTTCGGCTCTCTGTATTATATAAGTTTTCACACCTTCTCAGGAAGGGTCAGTCCCAGTGTGGACTGTTCAGCCTTTCTTCAAATGGAGGGACTCTTAGGATACTTTGAAGTTTTTGACCTTCCTGCCATTTTACTTTGCTTTTTTAACTTTTCTGGAAACTTTTGAATAGTGGTAATGAAAGGTTAAAAAAAAAAGTCCAATAAATTCCTACATAGAATGGTGGTAGGATTCTAGTGGCCATTTAGACTTTTGTGACCTCATTGTCCCCACTGCATCTGAGTGTCGAGGCCAGCTAGTTAGCTATGCCTAGTCTAAAAGAAAGATGTTACTTTAAATTCACTCTTCCTTTTGAACTCTTACCAGCAGATAAAATTTGAACCAGTTTGGGGTACATGAATCAGAAGAGGAACAGAATTTGCCTAATATAGATAGGGAGCCAATATATTACCCAAAAAAAGTGTTAATTATAGGAAATTTATTTTTGTTTTACTGTTTTTTGGATATTGTTCTGACTGCATGTGGATGTTTTAGATAAAAACATCATTGCTGAGGAATGGCTAAATGAACTCCCTTGCTCTGTGTTCTTCCTAAGCTGCTTGCAGCCTCATAGGCTTCTTTTGAGAATTATCATATATAACATGCTTAGAACAATGGCTGGCACAAAGTATGAGGTGTTAACTATATCTGTGTGAACCTCAGAAAACAAAATACCTTACTGGTAGAACTCACATGAAGGTTAAGAAGGCTGACCGGGGCAAAACTGTCTAGTCCCCAGGGCTGCTTGTTATTGGCCTGTACCTCATCACAGGTAAAAGAACGTGTGTAAAGAAAATAGCAAGAAAGTGGCCAAACCATATAGTGATAGCTATAGGCAGGCATATGGGCCGTTATAGAGATATTTGATGAGTTTAGAATAGCCTCATGGCAGTTCTAATGGTAGTGATGTGTGCAGTATGAACTAGAGAGTATGTAATTTCCATTCATTGACTAAAGTGATAAAGTTGTTTAATTGACCAAATATTTATATGAATGTGTAATTTCCAGAAGCAGTCATTAACTATAAGCCACAGCTTTCTTCCCTTCTCTTCCCCCCATCTGATGTGCTTACAAGGTCCTTTTCCATTTTTACAATTCTAAACCAGTTGTAGTGTCAAACACCTTAGAAATTAACCAGTCTTCATGATATATTGAAGAGGAAATAATATTCCCAGTAAAATGAGATAGAACAATTACAGCTTTTTCTGCAAGTACCCAAATTATGTGATGTTTATTGACTTCACATAACTGTAACCATCTGTTAGGTCTTTTTCATCTAAGGGTTTATAACCTTAATAATTAGTAATCCTGAATGAGGCATAGGGCATCATGGGAAAGTAATGGAGTCCAGGCTGGTAGAAGGCACTCTTTCTTGATCAGTTTCTGCCCCCAGTCAAGCAGAACTATAGGGAATAGAGACCAGGGATTGGCATGCCTGGCTCTGAAAATGTGTTGGAGACTTTTATTTCTTACTCTTTTTAACTTCATTATCTCTCACTAGCCCAGCCTGGAAAACATCCTTGAGCTTCATTGGAGCCCTGGCTGTGTAGGTTTGCAGAAGTCTTCTGAGAGCCCCATTCCATTTCAGGCCTGCTTTAGAGTGCATTTTTCAGTGACCTCCTGAAACAGCACAAAGATAGGAATGACAAATGAGTGATAGGTGTGGAGGGCAGGACTTGGCATGACTTGACCACAGCCTTCAGGACTTTTCTTTTTGTTTGCATTGTACCATTAGTTTAAAAACTGATCTGGTATCAGTTATTGATCCACTTTGTGTATGGCTCAAATGTAATAATGCATGTTGTGTAGGTGCTGTATATAAATGTTCAGAGTGATTAGTATGTTTTTCTTTCCCCCATCACCCCCCCTTCTTTTCTTTCTTCCTTTAGTATTTTGTTATAAAAGAGACCTTTTGTGCTCTTCCCTCTTCCAAATTTTATTTCCTGGGTCTTTTGATGACCCAGGATGAATGATCTCCACATCATTCCCTGTCCTTTGTGCTTTGCTAAGATCTTTGATGTCTGGAGCCCTAGGGCTGATCTTTTTCTGTAGAGAGCAAGAAAAAGCTGGATGTGCTGGTCACAGAATCCTCTGAGAATTGTGGACACTGGGTGAGGAGAGTAGGGGATAGAAAGGAGAGCAGGAAATGGGAGGTGTATTCACAGGAAACTTGAGATAAAGATTATTGGCAGAAGACATGGGGAGGTAGGCAGTGCTAGACTCCCTGATTGTTGGGGAATCTGATCGTAGACCTTTATCTTTTCATAAGTGTGAGGAAATTTAAACTGTGTGTGTTATCAAGAACAACTTCAATACTGAATAAAAGATATAGATACAGTCTCTTTTTTTTTTTTGAAGATTGGGACCTGAGCTAACAACTGTTGCCGATCTTGGTTTTTTTTTTTGTGGTATTCTTCTCCCCTTAGCCCCCCAGTACATAGTTGTAGATTCTAGTTGTGAGTAGTCTCTCCTTTTTTGCCACAGTGCATTTCTAAAAGCTCAGTTAAAAAAATAAAACAAGGGAAAACGTTTTTTATAGCCATTGTATATAACCTGCAGTTTGCTCTTTTGCATCTGCTTTGGTGAAGGGAAATTGTGCCCATAAAAGACATTGAATCCCTGACAAATGAGTAGATTAATGAAATGAAAAGCATAATACAGATACTTTTGCTACCCCTGGATTACGGAAAAGTGAAATTCAAGG